TGCAGGAGAGGAAGACCCTCTATGAGGTGGATTGATTGAGTGACTGGGGTAATCTAGGCGGGTGTGTCAGAGACAGTGAGATAGGCACAGGATAGAGCAGGGTTTAGGGCTGCTGTACATGGGGTCACTATGAGTCACAGGCAACTCGACAGCACATAACAACAACAGCAGTGTAATGAATGTACTACAATGTCTAATCAAACTCCTTAGGGAGCTCTGGTCACTCAATGGGTAAGGAGTTGTGCCCCCCAGTGTAGAGGCAGGAAGATAGAATCCCCCGGCTACTCCCTGGGAGGAGGATGGACAGTCCTCTTTTGTGCCACATACTGGCTCTGAAAACCCGCTGGACGTCACCCTTGGGACACTTCTCACAGCACATAACAACAGCATCAGTAATCAAACTCTTATTGTGTATTGTCTTTCCTTACCTGAGTTGATGGCCTGTTTTTCGGTCGCTTGGCACTTACTCAATGCACAACTGGGACTCCTTATCAGCTGGCTAAGATTTTTATTACAAATTGTTATTGAGTTATTTTCAACTCATACAGACTTTCCATCTGCAGGCTGTGGATTTTTAGGGGGGATAAAAAACTGCCCATCATTCTCTCTGAGTGGTGTATCGGAAACACTGAACTTGCAGTTCACAGCTGGTATGTTCCATGTTTGGCGATCAGAGTGCTGTAAACAGCACTAATCAAATTTCTCTGGAAATATTTCAAGCCCTTTTAATGTTGTGTCTTAAACGTCTAAGGTAAATATCAATGTATTTATTTTAAATAGTTGCTAGAGGGAGAAAAATTTTATCAACAACATGACACAGTATTGTCGTGTATTCTTGGCATTTGAAAGAAAAGCCTAAAAGTCTGGAGAACATCTATAAAGCTAGTCTACCTGGTAAATAGCTGTATTTTGAGAAAATATGCCAAAATGACAGGGGACCTGCTTCAATTGGTGAGTCTTAATACACTGGTGTGTATTGAAAAAGCAAAACAGCTTATGTCCATATTTGTTTCATTGCAAAACTCCCTGCTGTGCTGATGGCCTATTTGAAACATGTTAAATTAAGTAATGTTTTTCTCTTTTCATCTGTTCAGAACTGGGGACTAAAAGCAGTTCCTACGCATCAAAGTAGATTTGAAAACCAAACTGGATGCTGTGGGATCAGTTCTCACTTAAGGCAATTCTGACTGATTTTTCAGAAATAGGTCATATTAACATAGCATATCAGAAAAAAGACAGAAGAAGACATTTATTTTGTCAAAAGACATATTTATTTTGTCAAAAGGCACTGCATAAACTTTATTTGCTCAGTGTATAGGCTAGAAATTCGAGCTAGACCCAATTAGTTCGGTTATAAATCTCTCACTGAGCTTTAAGAGGATTTTTTAAAAAAAATATATCATTTAAATAGAGAATTAATGAATAGATGAATAGCATTTAGTCCCGGCCCGGTAGTAAGCTCTGATACCAGCCCAAGACCATACGGTTTAAACCCATCAGTTACTCTTCTGGAGAAAAATGGGCAATCTCCTCTGGGGAGAGTTACTACCCTGGAATACCTGCTGGAGGGTCAGCTATGAGTCAGGTCTGACTCAACAGTAACTAAGAACAGTAAGGAAGGATAAGGTGATGGAATGAAGCAAATGAAGTCTATTGACACCAAGTCTTTCCCAACTCATAATAACACTGCAGAGTAGAATTACCCTACAGAGTTTTCTGAAGCTATAATTTTTTTTAATTTTTTTGAAGCTATAATCTTTAAGGAAGAAAATTGTCACATTTTTCCTTCCGTGGAATAGCTGGTTGGGTCAAAGTCAGCCCTTTGGCTAACAGTGCTTAATCATTGTACCACCAGGTATCCTGTGTCAAAACTTAACAACCACAGTAACACACCCCAATAGAGAACTTGGTGGTTTGGGGCAGAATTCTCCCAGCTTCCTCTTGTACGTCTGGCATTTATAACATGATTCAGAAGTAAATTATGCACCTATTCAAATATGTTCATTTGCAGCATGTATTAATTGACAATCCATTTACTGATTAGCAGACTTTTAAAGGTACTTTAAAAGGGGCTTGTTTGTAATAGCTGCTGGCACCACTGGAGTTCTGCTCCATGCCAGCCAAATGCCATTTCAAAGAAGGACTTCCCCCCCCCCTACTTTTGCAACAGAAAAGAGCAGAATCACACGGTAGCTCTTGGTTTATGAACTTTCTTTCTTTCCTGAGTCACCAACTCCCACAAAGTGTATCATCCCCTTTAAGGAACTGAGTCGGGACTATTTAACAAGAAAACAATCCTACCTCTAAATAAGCCTGTAATTTTGTATCTCATGGGCCTTTGATTATAATGCGTCACTTCCTCTGCCTCCTCTGAGCTAGACCGAGAGTAGAGGCTGAGAATTATATTGTAGCTTCTTCTGTTTGTAATCAAACCCAACCTACCCTTTGGAGGCAATTCTGATTCACAGGTGACTCTATAGAGGGCAGCCTTAGCAGCTGATTGGTAAGACATAGCCCTGCCATCCTGAAGGCTCACAGTTCAAATCCACCAGCTGCTGTCCAGGAGAAAGATGTGTGAGTTACCACCTCTGAAAATGCTGGAGTGTCAGCTATGGGTTGGTTCTGACTCAAAGGTACACAACAACTTAAGGGAAGAATACAACTATCCCATAGAATTGCCAAATTTTTACATCTTTACTGAATAGACTGCCACAACTTTCTCCCTTGCCGCATCAATGCTTTGGGCAGCACGCTCTTAACTTCTGTAATACAGAACTCTCTGTGTACAGAGTCTCATTGGAGGACACTTCTGGGTCAAAACCTGCAATGAGTGGTGGCTGTCGTGCACTGAGTTTGTGAAAATAGTTTATATTCAATGTTCTCGCGAGCATTTTGGCAGTCCTGGGCCACATTCTGAAATTAAACCATTGTTTTCCCTACAATGTGGTTGACAGCTGACAAAGAAAAGGAAGGACCCACTCCAAACAGGTGGTCAGGACAATGTGAGAGGGACAGACCAGGGTGCTCTAGGAGAAATTCTGCATCTTTCCGGCAGGGTTTGTGGGGAAAGGAAGACTTCCAGGCTGTAAGCAGAGTCTGTCCTCCCAAGTGGTCCACCAAACAAAGTGTTTATTGTAAAGTGGGTCTGGTCCCTGGTGAAAAGAGGAAAAATGATTCCTTTTTTTTTTTTTTTTTGACTGAAAGGAAGGTAACCCTTTCCACTCCATTGCAGTCAAGAATAACCTTCATAAAAAATGCTTAATTTCTCTGGCAGCTTCCAATAAGGACGTCTCTTTGTCGGGAATAATATTGCCTCCTATTGCATATCTCATGCAGCCAAGTTACAAAGACGGTCAGTTTAAAGTGACCCATTCTCTTCTCCTTCCCACATCCAACATGGCTAGAGTTTACTGAAAAGATATTTGGATGATTCATAAATAATTAAGTACAAGCACTTCTGCTCCCCACCACTTCACCCTCCGCCGCCCCCCGCGCCTCCCCCCCCCACCCCCGGCCCTGTGACAGAAATAAATAACACATCTGGCATCACATTTGAAGAATTTACTCTCAGACTTAAGCTAGGAGATTAGGTGCTGATAGGGGCCTTGGTGGCACTGCATGCTAAGAGCTGGACTGATAACTGAAGCTTTGGTGGTTCAAACCCAACAGCTGGCGCACACAAGAAAGTGGGAGCCTATAGAGATTTTGTTCTCGAAAAGCCTATGGAGCATCCTACTTGGTTCTAGGGGCTGCTCTGGGTCCGAAACATGCTCAGTGGCAGTGAGGGTGGTCTTTGTTGCTATTTTTGCTTGTTCATTGAAAAAAAATATGAATCAGTTCTAACTTGACAGCTAAGCGTTTGAGTTGTTTGAGGAAACAGACATGAACATCTAGTTCATATTTGTCGCTGACTTTTTTTAAAGACCACCTTAGGAACGAGATGCACTCCTCCCATGGGACTGTTTTGAAAGCATGAGGGAAACACAGGGAAGAGAGACAGAGAAATGTTCATTTGTAGCATGTTCCCTTTAAGAGGCAAACAAGATTAGCAGATTTGGCAAAATTTCTCCTTCTATTCAAAGGGAAAAGAAGAGCTGCCAGTGTCAAGAGAGAAAAAAGAGAGAGAGAGAGAGAGAGAGAAATAGATGTTATGGAATAAAGACAGGCAATTTTACACCTTCCTGCAAGCTTGCTTGGGAGTGGTTTTGACTTCTGAGGGGTGTAGAAAGGTTTTGGCTTTTGGGTTTTTCTTTCTTTCTTTTCTTTTCTTTTTTTGTTAAGCTTAAAGGTGGAGCTAGGGGAAGAGGAGTTTTCATCTGAAGTAGGTGTCCCTGTCACTCCTATTCTGTCCTGGGAAAGCACACAGGAAGATAAGACTCTGAGGAAGCACAAGAAAGCAACAGAGGCTCAAGGTGGGATTCTCCTTAGTAGAGCAACAGGTTTGTAACTTATATTGTAACATAAAGGTAGTCAATGCTAACGGTATCTTTCTAAGGAAAACCAATCTCATTTAAACAACTAGAAAGCTTATCAGACTTCTGGCCAAATATCTGAATTATATGCTACCTCTTTAGAATGCGGAGTAGTTTGTTTTCTAAATGTGCTCTTTGCAAGAAGTTAAAAGACGGTAGTGTTTTCATGTCAGGTCTGAAAAGGTAGTGAAAGGCTTCATTTGCAATAATCAGAGTGTTATTGCATTTATGAAAATACCTTTTTCTCCGACTGCATGTATATTTTTTGATGACCAGGTTGAATTATAAACGGAAGTGTCCAACCACCCCTGAAAATCTCCAGCGTTCAGATTGCCCTGGTAGCTGTTTCAGACGACGTGACGCGCCTTCCCACTTGGCCCTTTGCTGAAAGGATGCGGAGGGGAAGTTAAGTGCGCTTCTTCTTCTTGTCTTTTAGGTTTTTAACTGAAAACAGCAAATAACAGCCAGCGCCCTGAGAACCGTGATTGTGGCAAAGCTGACGTAAATGCCCTAAGGACGCAAGCAAGGATGAGCTATTACGGCAGCAGCTACCGGATTGTGAACGTGGACCCCAAATACCCGGTGTACCCCCCGGAGCACGTGATCGCGGAGAAGAGGAGAGCGAGAAGGCGCCTGCTCCACAAAGATGGCAGCTGCAACGTGTACTTCAAGCACATCTTCGGAGAGTGGGGGAGCTACGTGGTGGACATCTTCACCACGCTGGTGGACACCAAGTGGCGCCACATGTTTGTGATATTTTCCTTGTCCTACATTCTCTCCTGGTTGATCTTTGGCACGATCTTCTGGCTCATCGCCTTTCATCACGGAGACCTGTTGAACGATCCAGACATCACGCCGTGTGTGGACAACGTCCATTCGTTTACAGGGGCCTTTTTGTTCTCCCTGGAGACCCAGACCACCATCGGCTACGGCTACCGCTGTGTCACCGAGGAGTGTTCGGTGGCGGTGCTCATGGTGATCCTTCAGTCCATCTTAAGCTGCATCATCAACACCTTCATCATCGGCGCCGCCTTGGCCAAGATGGCAACAGCGCGCAAGAGAGCGCAGACCATTCGCTTCAGCTACTTTGCGCTCATTGGCATGAGAGACGGGAAGCTCTGTCTCACGTGGCGCATTGGGGACTTCCGACCAAACCACGTGGTCGAAGGGACAGTGAGAGCCCAGCTGCTGCGGTACACAGAAGACAGCGAAGGGCGCATGACGATGGCCTTTAAAGACCTGAAACTGGTCAACGACCAGATCATCCTCGTCACCCCCGTGACCATCGTCCATGAGATCGACCACGAGAGCCCTCTTTATGCCCTTGACCGCAAAGCCGTGGCCAAAGATAACTTTGAGATTTTGGTGACCTTCATCTACACGGGCGATTCCACTGGGACATCTCACCAGTCCAGAAGTTCCTACGTCCCCCGAGAAATTCTCTGGGGCCACAGGTTCAATGACGTCTTGGAAGTGAAGCGCAAGTATTACAAAGTGAACTGCTTGCAGTTCGAGGGGAGTGTGGAAGTGTATGCCCCCTTCTGCAGTGCCAAACAGCTGGACTGGAAGGATCTACAGCTCCACAACACCGAGAAAGCGTCAGCAGCCCGGGGCCCGGGCTCCTCAGACACCAAGGTCAGGCGGAGGTCCTTCAGTGCAGTTGCCATCGTCAGCAGCTGCGAAAACCCCGAGGAGACCAACACCTCCGGCACAGAGGAGAGTAAGGAAGCGCCTTATCAGAAAGCCCTCTTAACTCTGAACAGAATCTCTGTAGAATCCCAAATGTAGCCTTCAGCTGGAACGGTAGGGCTACCCGCACAATCACTTGACTCCTGTAAAACCTGACTTTTAAAGACGAGGTAACGATGATTTATGGCTAGAATGGACGCATAGACTAGGTTAAACCTGATAAAAGGGAAGGAAAATTTCATAGGACACAGTTGCTTCAAATCTTTTTGCTAGAAAAAAAATATATGTAATAGGTTTGTCATTTACAAATGGAATTGAGTGCTTTAAATTTCATTTCCTTTTATTATATACTTGTATCAGACTTTGGAAGAGGAACTCTCAACAATGTGAACAAAGATATGAGCCAGAGTAAACAATAACAGAAAGGCAGTTGAGATGAATATTACATTCTTAAATAGCAGACAGTGTAATAATATGAAAATTGTTAGTATGATGTTCATCGCTAATAAAGAGCACGATGTCAGCCAACCGAAAAACGTGAGATGATTCATGCACAATAGATTGTAACTGGGGATCTTTAGCTGTGAAATCACCAGGCTGCTTTGAGCCCCGATGTTTACGGCTGCTATTGTACTTCTGTTGCTATCAGCAGGCCTATGTGGTAATAAAAAACCGTAGAAAATACTGGCAATTCGGCCAATTCTTCCTCTGCAATGTATGTAGGTATGGATCAGTAATTAGTGAGCACATTGCCGTGGGGTCAGCCTGGCGTACAGCTGATCCTCCGTTAGATTTCCAAGGCTGTAAATTGCATAGGAGGAAACTTCTCACCTTCTCCTCATGGAGGTGCTGGTAGATCCCACCACCAGAGAGACACAGTCTTTGGATAAGTAGCACAATTCTGTAGGGATTACACCACTAGCACTCCCACAATAATTATTTGAAGGATTGAATATACCATGGACTGCTAGGAGAACAAACAGGTTCTTCCTGGAGAGGGTGAGACCAGAATGCTCCTTGGAGGCAAGGATTCTGAAGCTTCCTCTGACACACTTTGGGCATGTTGCCAAGTGAGACCAGTCCTTGGAGAGGGACGTCATGCTTGGGAGAGTAGAGGAATGGACAGTGCAGGAGAGGAAGACCCTCAATGAGATGGATTGATTCAGTGACTGGGGTAACGGGGTAGGTGTGTCAGAGATAATAAGATTGGCACAGGATAGAGCAGGGTTTAGGCCTGTTGTACACAGGGTCGCTACGAGTCGCAGGCGATTCGACGGCACATAACAACAACCGCCTAAGATGTGAAATATTCACATTAATATTTAGAGCAGTATGTGTTTCTTCAATACTCTAGTCACCTCAGAGAAATGGCTTTATATGGAAGAGAAGAAATAAGACCATCAGTGCTCCTTTCTGTTCATGCAACAAAGTGATTCCCATCCCCATCCCTCACCTTCTTCAAAGATATGAGGAAGATGCAGGATAGAGAGAGGGCCCTTATAGCATTGATGAACATCAGGAAACCTTTGGGAGAAAACATTCTGTGCATTTGCAACGGAAAGACTGCAGCCTTGCCGGAACCACTTCAATTTTTTTTTTTCTTTGCAAGAGGTTGAGGCTGGAGTTGTGTGTTTGTGGCAAGAAGCGGTGATGTATGCTTTCTGTCTTGATTACAAGACTCAGATGACTCCAGTTGCAAATTAAAAAAAAAAAACACAACAAACTTTTTTGGTGAACTTGAAATTGTACCTTTAGTTGGTGATTTTGTGAAATAGAATTAAGATTATTTGATCACAAATTAAGTAAATAAACTGAGTGCTATAGACTTGCTTGACATGAGATATGTTTATATTTTCTGTTTATCAGTCATGATTTACTTATCTATAAATCCAATTACATGTTATTGAAACATCAACTTGAGCTTTATACAGAGTTATTAGCTACTTTCAGAATTATCTATGGTGTTTTGTTTGATGTTACTTCTGCAGTGGTTAATACACAAATGCCGTAGTTCTTAATTGTTTTGTACAGAAATTTTTACTCTTTTTTAAAAAATATTTCAATTTCCTTTTCTCCCTTTTCTTTCTTTCTCTCTCTCTTTGCATTTAATTGAGCCACAAGTTAATGGAACCAAATTAAAGTCCAAGATTCCTAATAGAAGTAAAATTACTAATCAATGTAAAACGAGCACGACTCATATCAATCCTATGAACAAAAGGCCTGAAGCCCCTCTACAACTATCGACATTTTTCAAAGTTCATAGAGTTTCCAGAGGCAGGTTGTTTAGGAAGCGGATGCTACTCCTTCTTTTAAACCTGTCTTAAACAAATATACTATAGAAATGCATATTGTTTCTCTTTTTATTCTTCTTTCCCTTTTTCATCTATTTCTTCTCTCTACACTTTTTGCTGTCTTGCTTCAGAAATGCAAAAATCTATTTTTTAAATTTCATGTGTGCTATTGCTTTGAATTGTGTCATCAAGCTACTCAGCTCTGTTTAAGCACCATGGTCTACTGAGGAAACTCCACCACCACATGACGGATTGAGCTTGCTTCATACACTTTTGCTTTCATTTCACTTTTCCTCCTGGACTCTCGCCTCTTTTCAATATTTACCTTGTCACTGTTGGAACAGGGACATCAATAGCTGATGGGGGTCATTCAGCTCTTCTCTGCAGTTCCACAAGCAAGTCTTATCAGCCAGTATAAAATGCATAATTAGCTGTCTATATGCAGTATTTGTCTCAGCTCTTCTGTTTCACTTTGCTATCCCAATTACTTACCTCATAATGAAGAACTTAAAATTGTGCAAAAAATGCACTACTAGTACCTTCCCAGTGATAGAAATTCTGTTTGTAGATTAGTCAGCACAGAATACTGTACACCAAAAATAAGAACTGCCTCCTCATTGAATTAGAACAGAAGCAGTATTGTATAACATTTTTAGTATGTGAAGTAACAGTTGTTTCTGTAAACAGTGCAAGAATGAATTGTGCAAAATGCCATTTCTAGATTTTAAGTCCTCTGGCAAGAGTTGGTGCAAATAATTTGCACTCATCTTTTATTAAGTGGAGCTATTGAAGTCAGGGATCATGGGTTAAAGGAGTTCTGGTGGCCTACTGTAAGAAGCTGTGCTGCAGTCCTGAAGGCACGCAGTTCTAATACACCAACTGCTTCACTGGAGAAGGATGAGCGATATCCCCCTGGGCGATTAAACTGCACCTGAAAACCTGCTAAGGGGTCAGCTATGGGTCGGTGCCAACTCAAAAGTACACAACAACAACAACAACAATTAACTTTTTTTATTAAAGGAGTGGCATCCACTTCCAAAATGACTTGCCTCTGGAAACTCTATGAACAGTGCTCAGGCCTTTCGTTCATAGGGTCGCTGTGAGTCTACGGCACCTAACAACAACAACAACTAAAGGTTGATGAACTCATGCAATGGTACCACAGAAGAAAGTTCTGGCAATCTACTTCCACAAAAACAGGAAACACAATGTGTGGGAATTAGTGTATGCAAATTAATTAAAAAGAAAGTTAAAACCCAGTTGGAGTCGGAGGTGGGGGCGGGGAAGAACACTTAAAACGCAACCAAAAAGTCCTGCGACACGTTGACGTGATTCAATGACACAGTGAATTTATATTAATTGAGTTCATTGAATAGCAGTTGGTTTGGGTTTGGTTTTTGCATTTGGTCAGTAAGCAGATATGTATATATTTGTGTTTAGTTGTTTTTTTTTATTGGATACATCCATTTTTCTTCCTATAAAGGAAATAATTCTGGGATGTTAACTGGGTGGGAAAACGATTTGTGCCTTTAAACATTGTTCCATGTTATGCTAGCTGTCATTTGTGAAGCTGGCTCTTGAGGAAGGAGTGAGCCTAGGGAAGCGAGGAAATGTGTCATCAATTCGTCATCCACCATTAGAAGCTTTACACATTGAATATATTTAATCCCCACAACAAAACAGTGAGGGAGATATTTTTAACTCTCATTCCATCAAATATTTAATTCTTCCTGATTAACGAATTTCCAATTTTATGTAGGGCAACAAGTTCTCAAGTTAACAAATAAAATACAGCTAATGTTTGGAATACTAAAGTTTTCAAGTGGCCATTCAATGCATGGCCTCTATGAGCAATTATTTTGTTATAATACCAAAAGAACTGTAGAATGCCCAACTACCTAGTGCTAAGGAGCTGTGCTGTTATCCTGAAGGCACGCAGTTCAAACCACCAGCTACTCCATGGGAGAAGGATGGGCAGTCTCCTCCTGTGTGATTACCTATCTCTGAAAACCCACCAGAGGGTCAGCTACGGGTTGGTTCATCCCATTGTGCGGTATACAACTGCAACTGTTACTAAGCACTTTTGTCAGAGCTTTCCCTGAAGAATCCTGATCAAAAGGAAAGAAAGGTAGAGAAAAATTTAAATTTTCACTGACTCTAGACTTCCGGGGAATCTTGGTGATACAGTAGATTAAGCATTAAGCTGCTAAGTAAAGTTGTTCGTTCAAATTCACAGTTTACTACATGAGAGAGAGAAGAGAAAGTCCACTCCAGTAAAGATGTACAACTCTGGAAGCTCCATAGGGCAGTTCTGCTCTGTCCTATAGTGTCAACACGAGTTAAAATCAATTTGATGGCAGTGGGCTGCTGGCTAGATTTTCTGGAGCCCTAGAGGGTGAATGAACCTCTGAAACTACTGCCTTGAGATAAACTTTAAACAACAAATACCTCCTGAATTAATATTATACTTGTTTAGCTTGGGGGGGGGGTTGTTTGGGTTTGTTTTTTTTTAATTCTGTGTCATTGCTATCAAGTCAGAAACAACTTACAGCTCAGCCTCCACTGAGTTCCTGACGTAAATCACATAGAAGAAAATTGCCTGTCTTTCTCCTATGGAGCAGCTGTGAATCTGAGATGTGGGCTTTGAGTTCACAGTGAGATCTCTATCCACTATGTCAACTAGTAAAAAAAAAAAAAGTCCACTTTGAGCATTGTGCTCTTTTAAGAACTATATATTGTGTTGTTGTTGTTGTTAGGTGCTGTCGAGTCACAGACGACTCATAGTGACCCTATGAATGAAAGACCTAA